TATTTATATAAAATATTAAATTTTTATATAAAATTTATATTTAAAAAATTAAAAAATTAAATTAAATTGACTTAAACATAAGCCGAGTACTATTTTTCACATCTTCCGCCTTTTTTTAATCTCTGTCCTTGTTTTACAGTCTCCGTATCAAATCAATAATTCCGAGGTAACATACCTTATCACCTGACATTAAAATCGCACTTCCCTTTACCCCTCATGGTCCGCACAGAATCATTAGAGCGCATGGCATATTCTCTTTAAGGGCAGACTCGTAATATTACACGTTACCAGCAAAGGCGGCTTTCTCTATGATTCAGTACGCGCGTCCTCATCCTGTTGCCTCAATAATAGAGCAACTTGATCTACAACTGTCGGATAAAAACCACGTAGCTTTCATCGAATGGACTCAAAACCGTCGATGGGGGCACGGTGGTAATTTCAGCAGCTAAAACCAAGTATATAACGGTGCATTTTCCGCGTTTTACCGGGCAGAAGAAAAGAAGAAAGACGAGATTTAGGAGTGTGTGGGTTTTTCCGTTTTTCTCTGTTTTTACCGGCGCCGTCTACGGTGGGGAATGCAGAGAGATGAGAGGATTTTCGTTTGCAAGGCCTGAGCTGTGTGTACGCTCCAAAAAGTCCCTCGGCGGCAGGACTTGCCACCGGAAACACGTCGAGGACGGGTGATCTGCTCTGCAAAGATCAGAATCACGTCCTACTCTTCAATCCTTTTCCTTTCTGTTTCTTATTTGTTCTTGTAAATACTTAAATTTCAGATCTCCAGCGGTTCCGGCTGTGAAAGTTAATAATGGCGGAGAAAAGTAAGGCTGGTCATTCGAGTTTGCTCCACGGGAAATACGAGTTGGGGCGGATGCTGGGGCATGGCACCTTCGCGAAGGTGTACCACGCTCGGAATCTGCAGACGGGGAAAAATGTGGCGATGAAGATTGTCGGTAAAGAGAAGGTGATTAAAGTCGGTATGATGGAGCAGGTCAAGCGGGAGATTTCGGTTATGAAGATGGTGAAGCATCCGAACATAGTCCAGCTTCACGAGGTCATGGCGAGCAAGTCTAAGATCTATTTCGCCATGGAGCTCGTTCGAGGCGGGGAGCTGTTTGCAAAGATAGCGAAAGGTCGGTTGCAGGAAGATCAGGCCAGAGTGTATTTCCAGCAGTTGATTTCGGCGATCGATTTCTGTCACAGCCGCGGCGTCTACCACCGCGATTTGAAGCCAGAGAATCTGCTTCTGGACGAGGATGCGAATCTCAAGGTTACGGATTTTGGACTCAGCGCGTTCTCTGAGCACTTGAAGCAGGACGGGCTGTTGCACACGACTTGCGGAACGCCGGCGTACGTGGCGCCGGAGGTGATTGGGAAAAATGGATATGATGGGGCCAAGGCAGATCTCTGGTCTTGTGGTGTGATTCTGTACGTTCTTCTCGCCGGATTCTTGCCATTTCAGGACGACAATTTAATTGCCATGTATAGGAAGATTTACAGAGGAGATTTCAAGTGTCCACCGTGGTTCTCCCCTGAAGCGCGCCGACTAATCACGAAGCTTCTGGATCCCAACCCGAGTTCTCGAATCACCATTTCAAAAATCATGGAGTCGTCTTGGTTCAAGAAATCCGTCCCAAGGACTCTCCAAACCGAAGAGGAATCCGAATTCGACGCAAAAGAGGACAAATTTGGCGACAAAACGTCGAAGCAGCCAGAGACGATGAACGCGTTCCACATAATTTCGTTATCGGAAGGCTTCGATTTGTCCCCGTTGTTCGAGGAGAAGAAAGAGGAGAAGCCGGAGCTGAGATTCGCCACCACACGGTCGGCAAACACCGTGATAACAAAACTAGAGGAGGTGGCAAAAAGGGGCAAATTCAACGTGAAGAAGAGCGAGTCTAGAGTAAGATTACAGGGTCAGGAATGCGGTAGGAAAGGGAAATTAGCAATTGGCGCAGAGATATTCGCAGTGACACCGTCATTCCTTGTCGTGGAGGTGAAGAAGGACAACGGTGACACCCTGGAGTACAACCAATTCTGCAGCAAAGAGCTCCGGCCGGCTCTCAAGGACATCCTCTGGACGTCACCTGCCGACAACCCCACCATTGCTTAACGGTGGGATTTGAAGATTAAAAGATGTGAATTATTGTTTATGGTAATTAGTTTTATGTGATTGTTCATCGGAATTTAGGAGGGATGTTATCACCGTGGTTTGGATTATTTTCCCGTAAAATGTGTGTGTTTGTGGTTTAACCACAGAGGATGATGCATTAATCATCATTCATTAAATTTGATCATGTTGGATGCATTTGGAAAGTGTAATTTAGTGGATTGTTTGCTACCAATTTTAAATTTTTTTACATCTAAAGAATTAATTACTTGATATTATATAGAGGTCTAAACATTTGATTATGATCTTAAATAAATAACTTTAAAATAATTCATATTAACTTAATTAAATTTTTATTATATTAATACATTGTATCTCTGTCTATTTTATTATTTTAGGAGCCCACTTAGTTCAATTCCTGCTTTTCACGCAACTTAGAGAAAAGGTGGTCGACATCTCAGGATAAGATAGGAAAAAGGTTACTCTCTGTATAATTGTATGGAACAAATGGCCGTTTTGAATTTCCACATTCAATAATTTTAGCCGTTTATTGTTAGATTAGAAGTCT